CTTTTCAATCCATCCTGATCCCCATCTCACTCTGACACCAGGGAACTATTTGGCTCTGTGTTGGTAAAAGCAGTGATATTATTGAGCCCCTTTTGCCCCCACGAGAGGGTGTGCAGAGTGCAGGCATAGCCCCCACTGCTGTCCTAGGCTCTGTGTTCTCCACACGTGCAGAGTCTGCACACCTCTAAGGGAATCCATGTGGATAAACCTATTGAAGATCCCCATCTCACTCTGACACCAGGGAACTATTTGGCTCTGTGTTGGTAAAAGCAGTGATATTATTGAGCCCCTTTTGCCCCCACGAGAGGGTGTGCAGAGTGCAGGCATAGCCCCCACTGCTGTCCTAGGCTCTGTGTTCTCCACACGTGCAGAGTCTGCACACCTCTAAGGGAATCCATGTGGATAAACCTATTGAAGGACCAGTTACTTACAGGTAAGTATTTGGCTCCTTTGAAAATGTTACCTGGGTGTAGTAGTTTTGAAGGGCTTTTTTTAACTCTGGACATCTGAAGTACTTAAAGGAAAAATCTCAGTCCACTTTGGGCTATCATAATTGTAGCAGGAAGGTTTTGCTACAGATGTGGATATCTACATAGTTCTTCCTTTGCTGTACTGAGAAAAGCAAAGGTATTTATGTACTCAAACCAATAATTCAGATTTTATGTTGTAATCACTTTTTCCCTGTTGTTAATATCTGCCACCAGTGTTGAAGAGGTAAAATAACCTTATTGATCACAGGCAGAGACTTGGCTTCTCCCCTGTTTGGAACTATACTTAGCTTTAAGATGGAATATAACAGATTGCTTCAATATGCTTTCTTGACATCACAGTATCATAACATCTTTGTTTTTCTCTTTCAGAAATATCCTGTATTACCATTTCTAGTTTTAGTATTGAAACAGTTCCTGTTGCAGAGGGACCTTAATGAAGTATTTACAGGTGGAATTGGTTCTTATAGTCTTTTTTTAATGGCTGTCAGTTTCCTTCAGGTAAGCTTAGTGGACTCTATCGATGCCATTGCTACATAAGGGCATCACCTTAAGAAGGAGTTTGATCAACCCTTAAATTTAATCATTTATGCTATCATGTTTGTGGGTTTGCACCTCTTTTTTCATTTAAAGATAGATCCACCCCACCTGTCTCATGTTGTTTCTCCCATACTGATACTTTTGATGCTTGGGACACCTGTTGGTATATCAGCACTAGGCACTTATTGACATGTGTCATTCATGGTAAAACAACTTGAATATTGTGTAACTTATTTGGAACAAACTCCCTAAGGTTAATGTTACCTGCAGCTGTTTTTTATAACCCTTGGTTTCCAGGTCTGACACCCTGTATGTGCTTTAATGAGCACAATGGAATTTGGGTTGTTTGAGTTTCTAAGCTGATACCAAATAAAGGTGTTTTACAACTTTCTCTTAAATATAACCCATGAGCTAAATCTATATGGTTGTGCCTAGGGGAGGAGAATATTGTACAAATATGAAGTAGCTAAGTTCTGGTTGTATCAACCTCCTCCTTTCTCCTGTACTAAATGTTATTGTGTAACTCTGTGCCTGTAAGTGTATGTCTGTACTTTTCCAGACTGTAATTTTAGTTACTTTTAAACCTGAGCCTGGAACTGGAGCTTGGTGTTTGCTGAGTGCTATTGCAGTTGCCTGCTGAGCACAAAAGAAATGAAGGCAGCAGGCATATCTTTCTAGAAGAAACCAAAATCTCTCCCAAAATGTTTTTTTCTTGTATTGACTAATAGCACTTCCATTTGCTCCTGGAAAAAAAAAAAAGAATCATATCTGTTAGAATTATGAACTAGTTGTGTTCATAGTCTCTCAGGCTGCATAGTTAGCAGCAGAGGGGATGATGTATATATAGCTGTGCACGAGGAGTCTGTGTTTGTGTGGCAGACCTAGGTTTGTGAGGTGCAATTATCTTTGCTTCTTTACAAGAATCCTGCCATTAGTGCTGGAAGTTCACTTCTCAGGCTTAAAGTTCAAATACACAAACATTAATGCTTGACAACCTGTTTGTTTTTTTTTTAAGAGGTAATTAGTTTATAAAACTTTTCATAGCATCTTGTTGCCAAACTGGTTTAGGGAGATAAAATATTGTATTTAGACACGTTTGCTTTATATATGGTGTTCTTTATTACTGTCTTTAGACATGTTTGCTGTGAAAAAGAAAAGGCACTTAAAGGCACTTGAAGTCCTAAGAAGATTATTTTTTTTCTCTCTTCTTAATAGCTGCATCCCAGGGAAGATGCCTGTATGCCCAATGCCAACTATGGTGTTCTTTTAATAGAGTTTTTTGAATTATATGGACGTCACTTCAATTATCTGAAGACTGGAATCCGAATAAAGGATGGTGGCTCTTATGTTGCCAAGGATGAAGTGCAAAAAAGCATGCTGGATGGCTACAGACCATCAATGCTGTATATTGAAGATCCATTACAGCCAGGTATCCTTAGAAACCAAGGTTTAACATACAAAGAACAAAGGTTAGGGGAGTGCTTAATCCAGAGGAGTTAAATCAAGGGACAGCATAGAATGACCACCAAGTACCAAACAGAAACATCTCTTCATGTCTAGGAACACAAGATGTACTCAGAACACAATGATTTTCTTTAAGACATGCTCCTAGCAGAAGTTGCAGTGTCACTCAGGGAGATGTCTGTGCAGCTGAGAGTTTGGAGTACACAAGGGACACAACACTGTCATGTGCTCTGCAGTAACAGCAGCACTGGCCTGAGTGTGGGCTGGATGTTGTGCCTGTGCACATGGTCTCTTTACAGCTTGGGCTCACCTGTGTCACAGTTGCAGTCTATAATGTGTATACTTTCATGCACTCTCTCCTGTTTGAGTCTGTGAAGTCACATAAATACGTGGTGGTTTCATTCCCTACTGTCACCTTACATTGAGGCTGATTGTTGGTTAGTGGCTGGCTGCTGAGGTGGTGAGTCAAGGGCAGTTCCTAGAAGAGAGCTGACACATTTCTGAGCTAGAAAAATATCCTCCAGGACAGTACTGTAGATCTTCTAAACTCTTTCAAATATTTGTTTCACTTAATCCTGTTCTACAAGAGAACTGCAATTAGTTGGGACTTAAGGGCAGTTAAAAAAAGTACTACTCTCTCCTGTCTGAAAGGTGCTAACCACAATGTCAATCTAACTCATTTATTTGTATTCTTATTTTAAGGTAATGATGTTGGCAGGAGTTCCTATGGTGCCATGCAAGTGAAACAGGCTTTTGATTATGCCTATGTTGTTCTGAGCCATGCGGTTTCCCCAATAGCTAAATATTATCCTAACAACGAAACAGAAAGGTAAACTCCCTGAGACTAAATTTCTGAGTCTAAATTGGTTGCTTATATTGTTGTGTGTCTGCAAATGAATTGTGGTGATATTTGTTTTTTCCTGGTTTGCAGTATATTAGGGAGAATAATTAGAGTAACGCAAGAAGTGGCCACGTACAGAGACTGGATATCCAAGCAGTGGGGAATGCAGAGCAGGACAGAGTCTTCATGTAATGGTAAGTTTTGACTCAGCAGGGCTGAGTGGGAAGTTTCCTGCACATTTTGATCATATAGACTTAGTTGTTGCTTTTGCCTCACGTAAGGCAACGTGTGCATCTCAATGAGAATTTATTTTTTTGTTCAGTATTCTGGTCTTTTCATCCAGGAAAGTTAGATGTGTACAAGAGTAAAACAGCCATTGTACTGTGAATGGAAACATTCATTCTGCTGTGATAGACTGGGTCAGCAGAAAGGTCTGTGAAGAGTGCTGCCTTCCAAAGAGACTCTGGAAAAACTTTCATTTGGAATTGCCATGTTTTCACTGTTGCTGTGCCTTTGTCCTTTAAACATGGACAAGGTTTTAAAAAGAGTTACTGGGAATGCTAGTTTAAATATGAATCCTTACCCTCTGCTGTTCCTTTGGTTTTCATTTTCAAGTTTGCCATACAGTGTGTGTATATGGAAGCAATATTTAACCCAGGATTAACCATGTAAGTGTAATAAGTCTTTTAAACAGGAAAATCCTGAAATACCAATCATGATTCTTGTTATTAACAAATGGAAACACAAAACTTAGCTAGAGAACTGGGTGACATTGTCCTTTAAAGTCATCTTTAATTCACTGCCCATCTTCTGATTTCAGCAGGCAGTTGCCACCCTCGTTTGCTGTAGCTGCATCTGCTGTCTGGATGTTTTAAAACTAAAATTAATTTTCATACTCTCCAATTAATTTTAGAATGTTGCCTACTAGAAGTCTTCTCCTAGGGATTAATCAGAGTCGATGATGCAAGTGCAGTCTTTTCAGCTAGGTTGGGATTTTGGTTTTTTGTTTTGAGAACTTGTGTTAGTGATTTCCCTGACTGTACTTGTCAGCTGAATGTGCCCTGGGCCATTGGTGTTCTGTAGGCCCTCATGGCACTGCTGTCAGCCTGGCACACTCAGAGTAATCCTGAGCTCCCTATTAGCCTACAAACACAGCTACTGGGGCAGCAGAGGTAACTCCTGAGTGTCTCAAATGAGGTAAAATAGCAATTAAAAACCTAAAAGTAACCCTGTATCAGGAAGGTACTGGTGACAGTTACACTGATTGTCTTGTAGATTCATTTAGATTTAAGTTCTGATTCTTTTTTTTTTATCAAGGCAGAAGTTAGTGAGATATGAGAGTTCTCTATCTTGTATTTTCAGTGTAGGGTGTCATACAAAGCAACAAGACTTACTTGGAATCCTTCTGACCTTGGCAGCTCCAGCAGAAGTAAAATACAAGTTGCTGAGCATTGGGCATATAGGAACAGAATTTAACCAATGTGTTTGAGTGCTGTTGAAGCAGCACATCTCAACTTTGGTCCTACCTTCTTCTACATCTTGTCTCTGCTCCCATCTGGAGCCATGGGCAATGCTCAGAGGTTTTCATAGTGTGCATTATCAGGAAAGCACCACACCCTCTGTGAGGTGCTGGCCTGGAGCCCTCAGCCCATGTGTCTGCATGTGTTTAAAGTGTGGATGTCTCTGCATATCCCATGGGATGTAGCAGGTATTATGTATCCTACTGGGTATATTAAAAAACCCCAAGGCAACATATTTTAGCAGTTAACATGTAGTGATGATTCTGTTTTGTTTTTACTAGGTAATGGAGTAACCTTGATAGTAGATACTCAGCAGTTAGACAAATGCAACAATAATCTCGCTGAAGAGAATGAAGCACTGGGAAAACCTAGAAATAAAACTTCAGAAACACTTAGTAAACATTCTTCAAATTCTTCATCAGGTCCTTTATCATCATCATCATCTACACTGTCCAGCTCTAGTGATGTAGTAAGTACTGGAGGTTTTCTGATGTTGTCTTTTTTAATTTTTTTGGGTTCTGTTCTCTGATTTGCATTGCCACGGAATATGTTTTGGAAGCTTGGAATCCTAGTTAGTTATTTCATCCAGAATCCTAACTTGCATAAGATGTTACCTCTTATGCAATTTAACACATATAAGTTGCAGTGATTTTGACACAATACACCTAGAAAGTGAATACAGTAGATACAAAGTCCCATATAGTCCTTTCTTCTCTTGGAAAGCTATAGTTCAAAACCAAAACAGACTACTACTCCTAAGCTACATGCTTCAAAAACAAACAAGCAAAAAGCTTTAAACAAAAACCTGTTTGGGACTTCTGTTTAATAAATAAGAGGCAAATCCCCAAACCAGAATCACACATCAATAGATTTTTAAATGTTTTACTTGGTAAGAATTCTGGATTGAAAGAATGTTAATATCTCGTGAAATAAACACATTTGAAGTGTTGTCCACTGTTAGCTTGATTTTTAAAGGGAAACTCACTTGTAGAAAATCTCACTGACTCCTAAGAAAAACTCACTAATACTTTACATTTTCCTGAAGGATTCTGATGGAACACCTTGCAAAACCTCTAAACAATTGAGTTGTCGTCAGTCTACCACAAACAGAGTGGGGTCACAAGAAGTGTCACTGGAATCCTCCCAATCAAGTGGGAAAACACAAAATAGCCAAACAGCCAATACATCCAGCAACACGAACAAATCTCAGGTTTGTGAAATGTTTGAAAGCAGCAACTGTGTAGATTATTTGAGTACTACCCATATCCCCCATGGATGGGGAGCCTGTTCTGGAAAGGGAACACTGTGTTTTTCACTTCCCCTTTACCCACTAAATGGCTTTCTGCACTGATTGTATCTAAAAATCACCTGGTTGTCTGTTCAGCTTGTGCAGATGAATTTGCAGCCCTGCCTTTCCCAGTCTGAAACCAGATGAAATTGGACTGACTGTATTTTGGGAAATACTTCTGGTTTGCCAGAAGTATCCAGCTGTGCTGCACCCATTTCCTCTCTGCAAAAAGCATGTCAGTCCAGTTTGGGTTGCAGAATTTGAGAACTAATGAGTTTTGCCTACACTCAGTGAAAAACAGTTAACAGAAATGTATGTTTAAAGCTCTGACTGGCTGCTCTGGGAGCTGCTGATACTTGCTGAACTGTCTTCCATTTTGAGAGGTGAAGATTCTTTGGTGATACATGAAATTCCCTCTCATTTTCCCCTATAGACAAATATCTTTATGACAAGACCTACCAGATCTTCTGCATTTAGAGGATTTCTCACATTGAGGAATCCTTCTATGGCCACTCAGTATTCTGGAATGAATATATGCCTCTATATCCAATATACTTTGGCTCGATGCAATTTCAATTTTTATGCTTTTTCAGAATTCAGGAATATTGTTCCTTAAAATAATTCTGAAGACATAGCTCCTGCCTGCTGATATCCATCTCTAGCTTTTAACAAGACAGTTCACAAACTAGGCCTTGGCTCTGTCATGAATGTGTTTGTGATATTAGGCAGAACTAATTCCTGGCTGGAATGTGAATGTGCACAATCTGAGATCCTCTGCATCTCTGAAAAGATGTGGTATAAAATTAGTCCTGGGTGAGATTTGAGAAATCTTTCTCTCTCATCTTGGGTTATGGACTTACATTTCTGTGAAAGAGTAGAACAGTATTAACCCTTCCAAAATTCCAAGTACTTTGCTCTTCTCTCTGGACCTGCATTGTTGTGGGGTCTAGAGATGAGTGTTTACAACCACCAGAGTTGGAAGATTGGCAATGCTGTGTAAGCTGCTCCTGCCATGGCAAGTTCTCAAGTGTAACATGTCTACGAGTTAACATCCTCATTACCCAGATCCAGAGCTGTGTCATTGCTTTTTCCCTGGGTTTTTTTTCTCCATGTTTTTACCATGTTCTCTTTCCTTTTCAGCATGGATCTGCACGGTTATTTCGCTCTTCTAACAAAGGCTTCCAAGGTCCAACGAACTCAAGCCACGGTACCTCAGTCACAAACAAACAACACCAAGGCAGCAAATCACACCATCAGTTTTTCCACGGCAAAAAGAGGAAACACAAGAGGGATGCAGCCCTGTCAGACCTTTGTAGATAGTTGCCTACTTTATGACTGTTCTTCTGTGTGCAATGATCTCATGCTACAGGATAGTTTGATAGTGACTCCTTGGATCTCTTCTGGAGCTTCAGACTGTTCAGACATTGATTAGCAACTGCATTTTTTTTTCCCAGCTCGCCACGGAACGGAACATGAAGATTGATCACTGCAAACAAAAAAAAGAAAAAAAAGAAAAAAAAAATGGAAAAAAATAGGAAAAAAAGAGAAAAAATATTTTTTAAAAAGAGGAAAAAGGCTGCTCATTTGATAAGTCATATGCTACAACAGGGTCATTTAGGATATAAAAGCTTGAATGTAAAATAAATGTATTTCCCATCAGCTCATGCTGACCTGTAGAGGTAGTACTCAGTGTGTCTAGGGGGTGGTAACAAACAAATAAAACACAAAAAAATAGGAAAAAAAGGCAAAAAATTGTATTTTGAGGGAAACCCAGCCTTTAAAGGTGAAAGTAATTTGTGCATGATTTTTTAATTATTTTTGCATATACTTACCATTTTATTGTGTATATATAGATGACCATATAGGAAAACTGACATTTGTAATAGTGGATTTGTTAATACTTTTTACGTAACATTACTGTTTAAATTGTAAACATAAATTTTTCTCAGGATTAGTTTGGAAAATAATCTGAATTGTCATCTTAACATCCATATAAAGAGACATTACTAGTTATATCGCTCAGAATTTCTTTTCTTGGCATTTGAAAGACCTACTAGGACATTTGATCTGCAAAAGCTGTTCGTCTGAAAGAAAGGTTGATGGTGGCAAATGAAGCTTTTCATTTGTATAAAGTGTACATGTACTTTGTGTAGACACTGAGTTCGTCATCTCGGAGAAGTAACCTTCACCTTGTTTTCTAGAGTGCCATCATTTCAGGCTAGGGGATTTTAGAGTTGCATCCTTCTCTTCCTCCCCTTAGTGGTCTCTCCTCCACCCTCTCTTCTTTTTTTTAAAGAGACAACATAAGGCCACTTGGGGTTGGTTGGGTTTTTTTTTGGTTGGTTGGTGATGGTGATTGTTTTCTTCTTTTTTTTTTTTTTTTTTGGGTTTTAAAAAACGAAACAACAGAACTCAGTTTGTTACAGACGTTTGCATTCCTGGGCTGCTTTGATCTCATGCCTCCTTGTTTGTGCCTTTCCTCCCCCTTCCAGGTCTGGGTTTTTTTGTCTTTTATATTTTTGCTAACTCCTGTAGGAGAGATGATAACTGTTGAAGCTTTAAGTAAATTTTACAATTAAAGTATTTTTTTCTCACTCCCCTCTTAGGCATTTTTATATTTACACTTAATTATTAAAAAAAAAACAACCCAACAATTTCAAATAACGAGATATACTTTGTATTGCCTTAAAGACCCAAACCTTTCATATCTCATGGTGTTTCTTCACTGAGCTAGTTCTCATTTCATTCAAACTCCACCTTTGTCTGGTTCAGTTACAAGTCTAGGTTGCAGTACCTTTGATCCATGAATGCAGATTTACTGTGGAATTGCACTCGCAGGCAGAGCTTGGAGCAGGAGTTGGGACACTTCAGTGCTAGACAGTTAAGTGGCATTTACTTTCACATCTCTCTTGAAAGAGCAGAGTCTGTGCTTGGCGTACGTGGCTGTATCTAATGCAGCTGCTCTGAGATGATGCTTTTCTAAAAAAGGACTGTTAGCTTTGAGAAACTCTTTTAATAAGAATTTACAGAATACTACAGACCAACCTGACCTTTATGGCACTGATGAGTGCAAGGATCTTTAAAGTAAACTAAGACCAGAACTGATGTCATCACTTAAATTAATAAACATTTTTTAATGTGTTAAAGTGTTTTACTTCAAAAAGGAAAAAAAAAATAAAAAATATCTATATTCCAAAAACACAGAAAGTCGTAACATTTACTCCAACACTAAGCTTAAGTGATGTTAATTTGACAATTTTTTTTTTTTTCATTTTGGATAATTTTTAGAGTCATATTTTAATTTGATCAGATGATTTTATCGACAAGATGTTGAGCTTTTGTTCATAGAAACTAGTACAAGTTGTACCACATTAATGCATAGTCACAGTATTTATTTTGTTTTAGATCCTTGTGAATGTGTAGACTTATGTTCACCGCTTAGGGAACAATTATTTATAAATTATATTAATCCAGTATTGTTAGCTGCTATTAGCAAAACTGTTCCAAAACTTAATACTTGCAAAGATCTGTATCGCATTTACCACACTGAAGTGTTTTTAAGAGAAAAATCACCCTCATCGTTGAAAGCAAATGTACTTTTAGGGTGCAGATATTAGTGTTCCAATAAGCATGTGATAATTTTAAGGTGGTGGTAGCGGGAAGATAATCTTGATTCCATTGGGAATCTTAGGTTTGCCTCAATTTATGGTTTTCATAAATTTAATGGAAAATAGCTTTTCCTGGACTGCTCAAGTTTCTTTTTGGTAAACAGTATCTTTCTAAAAGAAAAAAAAAAAAAAAGAAAAAAAAAAGAGGAAAAAAAAAAAAGCATGAAGGAAAAATTGAGGCATTTTTACGTTGCCTCAAATGACCAGCATTGTATTCATAAAATACTGTATATCTTGCAAATCTTTATTTAAACAGAACAGTTGAACTGTTCGTTTTTCAATCTGAAGTAAAATACTTTCAAGACCTTTTAGTTTGCCTGCTCATTTGTCTTGTACATTTCATCTCTGTATTTGACTCAAGTCTAATTCCTTTTTGAGTTTCAATACTTTTGTGAAGATTTTGTGAATATATGAAAAAAAAAATAAATGTTTAATCTAACCACTGCGGTTTATCACCATTCTTGCCACCCTGTTTGCCCCTTCACAGCACTGTGGGAAGAGGAGGCAGCTCGAGGCACTTGGGAACACCTCCTGTGGTACCTGAGTCCCTGCTGGGCCCCTCTCCTGCACTTTGGAAGCTGATGGTGTTCAAGTCACCCTGGTCTGCTGTTTTTCCCTCCAGGAGAGCTGAAGCAGAGTCTGTATACCTGAGAATAAATGGAAGAATATACACTTCATCTTAACGTATGATTTTTCTCTAACTTTCCTCTGCACAATACGTGGGAAGCTTTGTGGGAAGATCCATTTTCTTTGTTTTCTGGCCTTGGCTTCAGGGTCATGCTCAGAGCTGCCACGCCAAGGGGGATGGGGTAGGATGTGCAAAAGTTAATTTGATTTCCTTTCAGCTAGAATCTGTGTTTAGCAGTTCCTGAAGCAGAGCTGATGCTGATGATGTCCTTAATTTTGGTCACGGTCCTTCCTTGCCCAGCTCAGCAGGGAGATGTGCACATACTGGAAGTTCTCCTAGTCTTGCTGTTGATAGTCTACCAAAGACCATTGGAAATACATAAATAAGCTGAAATGTTTATCTGTCTTCCTGTTTGGCACTGAACTGATTTGCTAAGGGTTTAGTTTTTTCATTAAAAAAAAATTCAAATGGTGTTTATAGTTAAAATCTGTGTATTTGTGAATTTATTTTTTTTTTTGTCAGTCTTCTACCTTGTGGCAGAAAAGAAGCTGAAATGTAAGTAAATCTTCCTGTTTGTGAGACATGATTCTGTTTCTTCAGAATTTACAGCTCAGGGGTTTGAATATTTATAATAAGCTTGTTTTTCTGGGACTTAATCTTTAGAAAATAGTAGCTCAGTGGCTGGTGACAAATTTTTTTTTAGGTGCTCTCAAAATGGACCTTGTCCATTTTATATGTGGAGTCATCATGAGTGAATCCTGAATATAACCTGAGCAGTTGATTAGAAAAGAGTCTTCCCTTGAAAATGTGTGTGAATCAATGCAGCCAGACATTTGGCATCTTGATGGATGTCAAAACTCATGATAGATGTTAAAGCTGAACGTGTGACTCCAACTTGATTTCCTAAAGAGTAAAAGCTATAGGAGTTTACAAAGTGTGTAATTCCTCAGGGAGTACATTTATCTGTTTAAGGGCCGTCACAAAAGTAAATTCAATTATTCCAGCTGCTGTTAAAGTGCAAAAAATGATGATTCTGCTGCTTCCTAGAACTTGATTCTTCTGCTTAATGATGCAGAGTAATTTTCTAAGAACCAAGTTTACCATGTCTTGAAACTGTTTGTCTTGAAAGGTTTTGAGAGCTTTATATTCTAGCTCATTTGTAGTGTTTTTCCAAGTTTTCCTCAAAAGTGTTTTCTGGGTGCAGTGACCTAAATCTAAATGTGTCTTGACTATATTTCCAGGAGTCGTTTACCAGCAGTTCTGACAGATAAGTTATTCTTTATATCATCTACAAGTCAAAAACAGCTTTGCAGTTCTCGTGGTGCTTAATTTCATGGTGGTTGTAGATTTTCCTGTAGTAATTTGCTCTGAGCCTAATGATCTAACCTTCAAACGTTGATTGTTAGGATGTTTGAGATGATCCCAGAGAAACATCCTGCACCAAGAATCCTTTGCAAGTTATTTAGTGTCCTGAGTAACACAGGAATTAAAATTGAAAGGGCTTTATTGAGTCCAAACCAGCCCAAAGTTTGTGTCAAGTACCTGGTTGCAAAGGAAATAGGAAAGAGCCAGAACTTGTTACTTGTGCATGGTAGTGCTGGATGAAATTAATGTGCATTTCAGATGACTAAAATTTAGATCTCCTTTTTTAACAGCTTTGAGTTTAGCTTTTTGTATATTTAGTGACTTGCCCACTATGACTTATTTTATCAATTTGTGGACTCCATAAACTTCTAAGGAAGTGGTGCCTTTGTTGGACACCTTGGCCATGCTGTTCCATGGGACTTTTGGCAATAGATAGCCTAAAGTTTGCCTGTTCCCATTTGCTCCTTCCTGTAGCACTGCAGCCAGTGATGAGCTTGGATACATGTAAAACTGGGCAAGGAAAGAAATGTGAATCTTTAGTTTGCTGTCAAATAAAATGGTAGAAGCTGATGGGATCCTGAAAATCACTTAGGTACACAAATAAGTAAGGGAAGATGAGTATCTTGGACATCCTCTGCACAAAAGCTGTTTGAGGAACTCCACCTTTCTGTGTCCAAGGTCCAGGAACAGTGAGATCCTGTGATGCTCCTGGTGAGTCCATTTGCTCAGGCTTTGCTTGTGAGATACTGAATGACCTGAGCAGTGAATCTCTTCCCCATCAAACTGTGTTGAAGGTTTCTCTGCTCTGCAGCATGTTGAAATAATTCTTGAC